GCCGACATGCATCGTTCATTTTCATGCTTTTTGCCGGCGTTTTTGCAATCAACAATTTTTTCTTTTGCAAATTTAGGTTCATACGTACATTTTACGTACCTACTGAAGAAAAAAGTTTTCTAATTTTATCTATCAGACGTTTTCCCAGGGCCGAGAGTTCTTTCCTTGCGACTACTATATCTGTATATGTATATATTCAAGTTAAAAATCTACACTGTCAAATTTTCTTCTTTGAACGTCCCTTTATATGTAAACGAAAGTTTCGATAACAAAAATTAATTATATATCTGGAAATTATAACGATTTGTTCCTGATTGTACACGTATAATTACGTATACGGTTAACAAAGAAAGATTCTTGTTCAAATTAGAGGTAGCCGAGCGTTCGCGAAACTCTCTTTTTGAATCCTTCAGTGGGCAAACGAAGAGTCTGGAAACGATCGCTCGAATAAGAGGTGACCGCGAAGATTCGCGAGAAAGAATACTTACGACTCCGCTCGAATCCGTTCCAAGTAGGTTGCCGAGAGTAGCGCAGCACGCTGGCTTTTTTGACCCACTTCGAAGCTCGCAAGCTCTCGTAACCTTAAAACAGCACTGCTATTCCAGTCCTGTACTTCTACGCGTTGCAAGAGTTCGATCGCACGGCATTTGCTTTCTGGCGTGCTGTTATTTGTAACGCCACCCGTTATACATCTTTATCCGTATCCCCCGATTGAGTAAATTTACTATAGGTCGCATACCTTTTCACAAAGCTGCCAGAAACGACGCCCGACATTGCATTTCGCATATAACAGCTAGAAAATTAACCGTTATTGTTAATCGTTATTGTTAATTGTGTACGTTATTCGAATCGACGACCACCCACGTTGTCACCTCGAAAATAAAAGAATTCGCAAACCGTGCCTGATTATCAATCAGTGATTAACCCTTCGCACTCGAGAGATGAGCAGATCTACCAGCGATAACGTTTCTTTAAGTTTAATGTCTTTGAAACTAGAAGGGTCAATGAAACGATATCTTCGAAGTCGATCGAAGCTTAGCATTCGTGGCAGTACAGAATGCATTAGGTGGACTGGAAAGTAATGTCGTTTCTGGGAATCACGATACTTGTTTATCGTTCGTGTCAGTTCATTTACTGTTATCGTTCCGTCATTGAAAGTTTGCAAAAGGCTGTTGGTAACGAGGCTGATTACGTAATTGATTAAAAATCGGAATTAATTAAGAATGTATTTGTTTGAATTTAATGGACAAGAAGTGACATTACTTTGCGGTCCATCTAATCGAACGTAGAATGCCAAGAAAGCGTCTCGAGTTGCTGGTAGATACCAAAAAAGAAGATCTCGAGTGCAAACGGTTAACACAGAAATATTGGTGGACCTTTCGGGCGCTGCTGAATTCCACAAAAAAAACGTTCAACGCTGCAGTAAAGAAGTTTACGGGCCTCTAAAAGAATTTCGCTTTCTCCTTGGTCTCGACGTCGCGAATTGTTATTTCCTGCTTCCACTCCGTTCTAATCTTCGATCCTTCGGCTCGATTCCGATCCCCAGTCACGGTCCGATAACAGGCGCGTTCCTACGGTTTAATGAAAATTGATAACAGGCTCGTTAAGCCTCTTCTCGCCAGAGCAAAGAGAAATCGACGGCTGCTAAGCAATCGATCGGTCCTCGTGCCATTGTCCGGGCTCTCCCTTTTTAGGCGGTTTAGTATCGGAATTGTAAAAATCACGTTGCAGCCTGACGATCCGATGCAGTGTTGCGCGATTCGTCGTTATTAAAAAGCCTCTTCGGGATACCTCAACAACAGCGTTCAGGGAGGCGGAGGCCTGTTCCTTTGGCGGACTCGAGTAATCGCCGCCGATAACGAGCACTGGGTGCTCCAGATACAGCGAAATCGTTATTGGAAATATCCCCGGCACTAGTTTCGCGTTTCCCGTGGAACGTGACCCGTATTTGCAACAGGACTGCCACGAAAAGTTCGTCGACTGATACGCGACGGAAAATTTCCACCTTTTCCCAGATCATTTTCCAAACTCGATCGACGAAGAACGCCAACGGTGACGTCTTACGTGTTATTAACACTCCAGAGAAAATTAGAGAAAAATCATACTCTCTCTAATTAATTTAACTATTGGCAGAAGTTAATATTTAGTTGGCCCCTATCGATAGATATCGAAATATTCACGGATTTCTCACGATTAATGTCCCGAATGAATAATTATTCCGAACCGTAATCGTTATCAATATTTAATCGAAGACCAAATATAACCGTGTGCATCGTAAACATTTAAATACTTCGGAGATGCACATGTTTAACACGTTGAACACGTCACCCATATATATATATGGGTGACAGAGCTTCTCACCGAGGAACTTCAACAATTCATTTTAAGAACCGAGTGTTAATGAGAACGAACCTGAATAGAATTCGTGAATTTTTATGGGAACATAAAAATTGGTAATACGACAAATGTTGGATTCTATAATTCCCAGTAGTCTCGATACAAAAATCTTAGTCTTGCACACATTTCTATGCGAATCAGTACGAGAATCAACGTGTTGATGTATTTCGAAATTTCAGATTATCGTACCAATATCTCTCGAGAAAGTAATATTTCCGGTCATAGAAAAGTTGAGATAAAGTAACTCGTAGAATGACTTCGTGTCTGGAAATATTATTTCCATCGATCTCTGAAGGGGCCCGACTCGCCTCGCGTTTGACCGACAAGTACCGAAGCGCGTTACGGGAATCTACAAATCAAATCCCAGAGGAGCAGTGGTCGCGTAGTTTACATATCCCTTTCCGAATCCCTTTCAGTGGTTCTGACATTCAATCCGTGTACGCCACGCGGCCCATGATAAATAAGCGCTCGTCGTAATTACACGTTGCGATTATTGTAGAGTATTATACTCTCGTGCCAAGAAGAGACCGCCGATTCTATCCTTGCACGCAGAGGGACATTGTTCTTCGCGCGGCAGTATACCAACGTCGTCTCACGTTTCCCACCGGGCCCGACCGCCGTGTCTCGAACCTGGACACAATCTGGAAACAATCTGTACTCGGTGTACTTGCTGTCGCTTAACGCGTTGGTCGCCCAATCCAGACGGTATTTTTCATTTAGAGAGTAAAAGAACGAATTCGATGAAACACGAGATCTAAACAGGATTCGTAAATACCGATGTTAGAAAATTGAAGACTACGGCGGATGTTAACACTTTGTCTACCGGGCTATTTAGAAACAGACTTTAGGGACGAGTCTGGTCCAGCTGATGTATTTTTCTAATGCATTGAATTTCCAGATGTAATTAATTTTTGTTATTGAAACTTTTTTTTTTACATACAAAGGGACGTTCAAAGAAGAAAATTCGACGGTGTAGATTCAATTTGAATGTATACATATATCTACCGGTATAGATATATCTATAATATATTATATATATATATTATATATTATATATTATCATCAATATATTATATATATATTATATATTATATACATTATATATTATATACATTATACATATATATTATATATTATATACATTATATATTATATACATTATACATATATATTATATATTATATATAATGTATATAATATACATATTTATATATATTATATATATTATATATAATGTATATAATATATAATATATTATAGATATATCTATAATATCCAGACTCCCCCCTTGATTCAAAAAAGAATTTTCTGCAGCATCATGTGCCAATCTAGGCTGACAATAATTCCTCCATACTGTTACTGGGTACACTGAAAGCCTAGACTGTTTCCAAACACTGAACATTGTTCGTAGACAACCATCGACACAGTAAATGAATTCGAATAGCTACATACTGCAATTAAAATGCCTAAAAATAGGCTCCCGGCAAATAAAGCGTCAAAGTATCTAATGTTCGATGGTCGCCGAATGATTTACGCGAAATGAAGTAACAGCATTATCCTCCGTCACGAACGCATAAAATTCGCGAGTCCATAGAAACCGTCCAGTTGCTCGCTCGCGATTCTGGTTACTTACAGTTAACTTGAAGCTACGCTTGAAATGAATTTAATTTAATAGAGAGTAAAAGAATAAATTAGACGAGACACGAAATGTAAATAGGATTCGTAAACAGCGTCGTTAGAAAATTAAATACCAGATAGCAGATTAAAATACAGCAGATTAAAATACAGTTGAATTATCTATTTTTCGTTGGTCGCCGAATGATTTACGCGAAATGAAATAACAGCATTATCCTCCGTCACGAACGCATAAAATTCGCGAGTCCATAGAAACCGTCCAGTTGCTCGCTCGCGATTCTGGTTACTTACGGTCAACTTGACGCTAGACTTGAAATGAATTTAATTTAATAGGTAACAACGACGATTATTATTCGCGGCACGGATATTATCTCGGCCCTGTAGCCTACTTAAAAATGAAGATACGTAGAACGACGTAATAGAGATCACGCGAAGGCCGTTAATTAAACCGAGAAAATCTGTGCGTCGCGTCGCGTCTAATGGGAACGCAAGAAAAGAAATTGCGAATTCCGCAAGGGAAGTCGGTGTAACACGAACGCGCCCGGCGTAAAAGTAGATTTTATTCGATGCACATGTCCAGGACGGACAAGAACCGGAATGCTCAGAATGTTAATCGTTTAATGGGGTATAATCGGTTAATGGGAGCCTGCATTCAGCCGAACCCCTCACACGTGCCGAACGCTCGCGATTCTTCGCTTTTACCTCTTCGTATGGTCTTTATCCGAACGACAAAAATCCTCGACGAGAACGTAAAGGTAACTTCTGGACCTCGTAAAGCAATGATTTTTAACATCGTGGAGCGTAAGAGCTATTACGGTACAAGACGATGTTACTAGCAACGCCTTCTGTCCCGAAACATTCGCTACGCGTCGGTCTCCTAATTTATGCACGTTTCCACCTTGTTTCTCGGGTGTGTAAGAGAGACTCGCAGAGTCGAGGAACCACGAAATAACGGAGATATTGAATAGGCAGAAGGTGGAATGATAAATGGTGGCGACCAGCAGCATGGTGTATGAGGAGATCGTCGGGATACGGGGCAGCTGACCCCAGCCACCGCGCACGCTTTTCACGCGCGAGATGCCCCACAGCTTGAACTCCGCTTCCGCCAACTCCGCCAACACGGGACCGAATCACCAGGCCTACGCACACCAGCCTTATCATCGACCGAACGGAGATGGACTCCAGCCAGAGGTATCTATCGTCTTTTTCGTTGCACGATAATATATTACTATTCTCGCAAACGAGTCTCACTGTCGCTAATCGTCGCGTCGCGAGGTGGCTTCACATCGCGTACCGATTCTCCTAGTTTCGAGTCTAAGTCTTTAGACGCGAGCCGTTGCTTCCATGAAAGTTCTATGAACATGAATCGCTGTGAAAAGCCGAATTCCTAAACGAATCCACGGTATTACCGCGTGATCGCTTATAGACAACTCGAAACTGACCAAATATCTCGCGTTAATGTCGAAAGATGGTTTATCGTTTATCTGTGCGTCGCGTAAATAAATATCATCGTTGCGAGTGCGACGGTTCATTGCCTGCAGAATCACTCGCACCGAGAATTCTCCCGATCCGACGCCTTCTTTTCCTTTTCCACTCGACGAAACAGAAAGATTCGCTTTCTCGAGATCGGTTCGAATAAGAATTTTTACTCGGTAAACTCGTAGCTTCTCGACGCCTGTTTTCCGATTAAACGAGAACGATACTTGAACGTAGAAAGAGCCGGTGGATTTCGACACGTCGCATCTACGCGGTGCACCGGCCGAGGTCGAGGCACTGGTGCACAACATCAAAGAGGTTGCGCAGCAGTTTCTTTACCACTGGAGAACCTTTCCCATCGTCCTTCCGCCGTCGCTCTCCACGTGCGCGGAAGGTGAGGACACGCTCGCCAGGAAGAAACACCACCTGAGAGACCTCTTCGTCGCGCCTAGTTTCGACGAGTTGGATTCGGTGGCTGTTGACAGCAAGGGCGAGCCCAGGAGGCTGACCAAGAAGCAGCTGGAGAGCATCAGTAAGAGAGGGTAGGTTCCTAGGGTTGCAACGAGATGCGTAGTATTCCTCTATCTATGTAGATGACAGTAGAACCAGAGTCTTGAGACTCCCTTGTCACGTCCTTGACCCATCAGTTGCAACACGTTCAGCAGAGCGGTGCATAAGCGTCGAGCGGTGCTGTTCCGTTCTTAAAAAGGCGCTGTCAGGGTACCGGATAACAGGGAACGTCCAATAGACACTTATCTTCGTTTGAAATATGGACATTCCCTGTTTGTTAGTAAAATGTCACGTGTCTGAACAATTGACAAAAGTGTATGAAATTTCAGGGAAATGTTGTAATTAGGACTGAAACTGTTTGGATGTATCTGTTCTGAACTACTCGATCCGTATGTCTGGATACATATACGTATTTGTAACATTCAAATATTACCACTGTCTAGATAATTGATCGGTGCACGCAATACATGGAACTGAGGAAACGGCATTGGACTTCGAATACCAATCAGATCGGGCTTCTTGTTGCAACTTATGGATTAATGACACCCATACTTTCCCTAACAATGCTTCCAGACAACGTACGGTAGTCAGTGTGTTGTTTAGAACTAGTGGTTAGTCATTTCACATAATATGCACAGGTATACTCACCTGTATAGAAGGTCGTCGATATACTAATACTAATGTCAATGGACGTCTGTTGACTAGGCTTGTACGAAGCTCTCACAGTGCAAACGCTAGACTCTTATTAGGCCATAGGAAATACAATATGTGGTAGAACCGTTAGTAACGTCTTTTCTTTTGAAACAATATTAAAAATACTGTTACTGGTAAATGTCTGGAAAGAGAACTCGTTGAAAATGAAATAATCGTTTAGCTACGAAGAAAACTCACGGTAGAACCATTAGTAACGACTTTGCCATTGAGACAATATCAAAAATACCGTTACCGGTAAATGTTTGGAAAGAGAACTCGTTGAAAATGAAATACTCGTTTAGCTATAATAGAACTGTACCATCCGTACGTACGAATGTAAAGCTTTTGATAAATTGCAGAGAAGTTGAAAAGGAAGTAAGGATAGCGGGGTGAAGTTACAATAAATTCCCGATCGGTGGTCTCGTTTTCAAGATGATACATGTTCTCTCGTGTCCGATGATATTTTAACAATGTTTGTAAAGCTTTCAGAAGGAGAAGTACGGAAAACCGAAGAAGCTGAATGCCACTCAATTGGAGAGCATTCGAAGATGCGGGTATGTCATACACCAGCGTCACACAATATTCAAAGCATTCGTTGACCGAATGTATATCGATATATATTTTGTACAGCGACGAAGTAGACATTGAAATCACTCGCTCTCATGACCTAACGATGGACGATCTCCACTCTTAACAATTTTTTAACGACGCACAGAACTCGCGTCAGCATGATTTCGATCAGCCCTGTTTCAAATTCATCCCCATTTACTAGTCGTAATTCGAGCGTTTCAAAACGAGCCATTGTCGAACGCGATGCTCGATCCATGCAGAGGTTTGGGTTCTTACTATTAGAATCGCCGCAGCTTTTTTTTTTTAACCCTTGTGATTAGTTTTTAACACGTTCGCGTCGATGCGCGTTATCCACGACGGTTACAGGGTGGACAGCGGACACGTTGAAAAGCGTAGAATCCACTCTCGGCGTGAACGTGTCGAGCAACCGTGGCATGACGCAAATGTACATAATAATTTGCGAGATCTTATTGTTTGTTGTTAGAGCACAATGTATACACACATGTATGGTGTAGGTCACTCCTTTGTTTCTAGCGTTAGAATGTGCTTGTACCGTAGCGAGAAATTTTCTTGGCTTTAGTTCTACCAACGAGGATAAACAACGTAATAGATTAATGTTTCACGTTATCGGAGGAACTGCGATTGCACGAAAGTTTCGGGGATTTCGTTGAAACGACATTAACGACGTACTTTTCCAAGAAACTTTTGTTCGTAACACGTGTATGTTAATGTTTCATTTACGACGTAGACAAGATTCTGTATCTAGACTCTCGTCATGTTTTCGTTCTAGCGACGCTCGCCTTCATAGAAGATTCATTTTCCAGGGAGTTCGAAGTCGATTCGATTAATTTCGCTGGTCAGACCCATCGATGGAAATTAAGCGGTCTTCTTCAACGTGGACGAGATCGAAGGCGAGACGCGTTGCTTCGCGATCTTGCTTTGGCGACCAGATTCCTTGTAGTTACAGCAAAAGCTAGACTAGTCTCCCATTGCTTCAGTATTTCACAGTCTCTGAAAGCGCTGTTAACGGGGCTATTACGGCTTCTTGGTAAGCTATTACCGTTTCTTTAGACCTCCGCAAACTCTCCAGACGCTGTAATTCTACTAATTACTAATTTATGTTCAGACATAATAATTGGCGTGCCGTCTCTTCAAGCGCATAACCTGGATGCGAAAATCAGGGAGGAACGTTGCCGATACTTGGTTGCCGAATTGGTGTGCAGGGTAAGGGTCTGTTTGTTCTGAAATATTATGTATTACGTTGTCCCAAAAAGTTTCTCTCGCTTTATTAACAAGTAATACATGCACGATAGTTTATGTTTCATGGTACATTACTGGATTGTGCACGATTCATTTTCCTCCATTACTGTTACAACACGAATATCTATGAAATTAGATTGTCGATTTATGGAAACACGACCAGATCGAATGATTGAGTGCAACTAGCGAAAGAAACTTTCGGGACGGCCTGATATTATTACTAGACTGCGGATCTTTACGCATTTATAGGAGATTTGAACGCACAAGTAGTTACAAAATGCAAACAATATTCAAGAATATAAAAAAGATTGAAAGTAAAGTTCATGTTATAATATTTGCAATATAAAATAAATTCCTATTTAGATTCAATTTTTTTTAGGCACGTTCGCGAACATTTTATTTTGCATCGAGATCCGCAGTCTAATTATTACATACATAAAAACTTTTTTTTTTCTTTTTTTTTCTTTTTTTTTTTTTTTTCTCTAAATAATCCAATCTGCTCTTGTGTTACGAACGCAGCCAGAATATGAAGATTCTCTGGAACTTCTGTGCGGCTTTGTCCGAAAACAGCTGCGACGAGCAACCATGGAGAAATTCGAAGTGGAACGAGAATTGTCGCAACTATTGCCCATCCCGGTTCCTTTCGTATTTGGAACGCCCGGCGGAGCGGTGGTTGACCTTAGATTATTTAGCAGGGACATAATCAGAAAAGCTTTACCGATTCTAGTTGCTATTTTGGAGAGAGAGACGCGAGGCTGGTTTCTTCATTTCAGAGAAAGACTGATATCGGAATTGAGAGCGCGGAAGAAGCCGGATGAAGAGATCGAAAAGGTATAAATCACCCAGAATATATTTAATCGAATTTTTCTTGAATTACTGTTAAACTGTTATTACTGTCGCAACTTTTAGGAAGTTAACGAAGCTGTTATGCGAGAATATCTGCAGAGGGTCTTCTCCAATATTTTGTCGCATCCGGATATACTTGACCTTGGGACTGGAATCGCTCAACTTCTCGTCCAACAAGCACAGTCGGTTGTGTTGATGCATCGAGCGGTAGAAACAGTGCAACGTAAACTGTTGCAAACTAAAGAGTCGCTGAGACGTCATATCGAAAATGAACACCCTGTCCTCTCTCGAATAGAACCATGGATGCGCGACAGAATGAGAGAAGTCGAAGACAAGTTTATAGAAGAGTGCGAGTGGAGCGCGCACGAAGAAGCTCTAACGCTGTGCACTCATCAAAATTTACAACAGACGGTTTATTTCCTTAACCGTGATTTAACATTTATGAAAGAGGTGCGTAAAATACGTTAAATGATCTGTGGTCTAAGCAATACCGTTACTTTTATTATGGAGAAATAATGCACTTTCAGCGGGAGCCAGTTTTATTGAAAGAACTGCGCAAAGTAAAAACACCCACAAGGAGTTTCCAGTGGCCGACTCAAATATGGCTTCCAAAGAATTGGATCGTTAGGCGAAATTTCCAAGGTCAGTCTGAAGTTATACCAACGGTGCTGAGTACCACTCCGACATCCATTACAACGCCTCGTGCTGATCCGAGTCAACCGGTCTTCTTAGTCGAAAGAGAAATCGTACATACGACCACTACGAGGTTCGTCGTTGTCGAACTATCCCGATTGATATTTATCGGATTATTAACCGATTCTAAAATGTTTGAACAGATGGCCTATGTGGCGTTGGATAAACTATGTAGCTAGGACATGGTGTTGGACTTGGAATGCAATGTTCTTGTTAGGTGTAGCAGTGCCGTGGTGTAGTCCAGTCTCCATCCGGGCTTTGTTACTTGTCCAACCTTTCACTCCTGATCTAGAATTAAGTCAACTAAACGGTACCTTGTTTCCCAGAAAGTCATCTCAAATGCCCACTCTTTGTTCTCGATTGATAGCTCTTTGGAGACATATTAGTAAAAGCCGAACACATTTCGAAACGGAACCGGATACTGGTAACACACATTTTAAATACAGTACCGATACACTCCGTGGGAATATGTTTCTTCGCCAACTAATTTATTTCTTATTTCACCGTAGGATTTATTGGAAAGGGAATGACAAGGCATTTAAACAGGTTATGGAATTATGGCGTGAAAGGACTTCTAGGAACACTCGGGATACTGTTTATTTTTCCTGTCATGTGTATACTCACAAGTCTGGGATCACTCGTTATTGCGCTTACTGCGGTTTTGTGGTTCGTTGACCGAGCGTTGCGTTTTCATTAATATTTCACGTTAGTTCATTTGAACCGCTAATACCGCCTTAAACCATTTTAGGATGCCTTTGATTACTTTGACGTTGCACGCGTTCATGGCGCTTATAATGGATCTGGATAGTCCAGAACCAAGTCGAAATCGATACTTAGTCATTATGGAAGCGTTAATTTGGAATATCGGTGTACAAGGGTGTCTACAACCAATTGCAGCGTTAATTGTAGCTCTTTTTTTGTGTCCCATCATTTCTTTTGTGATACTTACAGGTATGCTAAGAATGAAATTGACCAACCGCTAACACGCGTTCGCTAAAGTTCTATGAAATATATCGTTATTTTGTAGTTGCTGTGATACGTTACTGGATCAGAGTGGTCTGGGACACGGCTATGTTTCATTTAGTAATAAAGAACAGGGGTCGTATACCTGCCAGTGATAGCTTTGTGGTTAAAAGGATAGCCGGGCCAGGATTAACATCTGATTATTACTATCAAGTATGTGTCAGAACGTAAAATTAATAGCGATCCCATCGCTGATCGTTTCATTCTTATTCACAGATTAGACCAGAGCAAGCATTAGCTGCATTCGAAGCGAAATTAGAGTTAGACGAGCTGTTGGCTTTCCAACAGGAAACAGAACGATTAATTACTCAACCGCAGAGAGATTTTACTCAGTTTGTAGAAGCTTGTTTTGGCCCATTTGCCGCTAGTCTTGCTAAAGCGAAAGACCCGTACAAATCGCTTGAAAAAGAAGCCAAAGATTTAATTGCTGTGTTACATGAAAAATTGGATAGACGTAGGAAGAATTTACAAACTGGACTCGCAATGGTCGTGAGAAGTAAAATAAAACTTACCACCTTTGACTTAAAGGTGATTACCGTTTGTAATTCATTCTCGAAAATTGTTCGTAATTTTGAATTTATCAATTTTCAATAATAATAATGTAGGTAGTCATACAACAAGGAGCTCTTATGCTGGAACGTCTCTATCCTGCTCACGTGTTCGCGAGATTATCAGGAAACGAAGAGGATTTTTGGGAAAATAAAGGTTTAAGCGTCGGTGACTGGGCTGGTTTAGCCGGTCTTATGTACGCGGATATTTTCAGTTTAAATTTTCTTCAACCTCTCGACGATATGGACACAAAATTTAGGTTAGAACCTCATCCAGGCGTCGATCTGTCGCGTTATACGGATATGGTTCACAGCACCGAACTTGGTGGAACCAATGGCCCAGATTTGCTCGGAGCCGTATATGCACCACGTGGAAATATACAAGTTTATAGCCCTTACCTGGAAGTTTCAGCTTTCAACCCGCGAGCCAAGCAAACCAGTAGCAGTAGAAAGTCTGACAAACGATGGTAAACTATGATGTCCTATTATATATTTTCTATTAATCGAGTTACAATTACTACAGAGGAACATGAAAGTTGTTTGTTTTCCAGCGATACTGGGGGGCTGTTAACGTCAACGAGAATTAAGAAACGCACAACGTCAACAAATGGAACCACAGAAGCGCGTTGGCAACCGTGGAAGCGACAAATTCGTCCTTACAGTGCGGAAAAGTTATTGATTCCGCTTCCTATTCCGCATCCGGCTCATATTGCTGTTACTATTCACAATCGCGACTCCGAAAGTCCGATTCCTCTTGACTCGGAGCTCTGTCAAAACATACTAAGAGCAATTGAAGAGTCGCCTGGTGAAATGTCTACCGAGTATGTTAGTCGTTACAGAGGCGCGGGGGATTCTAGCTTTGATTCAGTGGCTTCGCACTCTTCGGTTTCTGTTGAGACTGGCTTAGACAAAGACAATGAAACGCAAGAAACCGCCACTACCGAGAAGGAAGGTGAAACTTACCATTGGACTTTATCTAATTGGGGCGGTGGTATGACGAGAAGAAGAAATAATTCTGGATCTATAAAAGTTGATTTAGCATCTCCAGAAGACGTTACTCTGGACACGGATACCACCAGAGTGATGTTCAGTACATATGGAACAACTGTTTAAATTTAGTTCGCTGTTACATCAGGTAAATATATATATAATAGGTGCGAATAGAAACGAATAAGTATAGATTAAAAATCAAGTAGAATTAGATGCGATTTTGTTGTCTATATAATTTTATAAATTTGCATTTATTTATTTAATTTTTATTCGTATGAAGTAGATTAAGTAAAATTTCTCTCATCAAACGAGTTTTAAATTTAAAATCAATTTTATCTAAAATATCCAGGAAAGCTTCATTTGATCTGCATATTATTATATACTTTTTTTAACAATATATTATCATCATTTTCACTGTAGCAAGATGTCATCTTTTATGCCTACTTAAAGATCTTATAAATCCATCCTTAAGATAGTCCGCGATTAATGTAAGTTAATCGGTGGCTATTATTAAAAGTATTAATTTTTGTTGAAAAATTAAGTGAACTCTTGTGGTTGATATAACGATAAGTATAGAATGCTCATCTGCAAAGTCTGGGATGTCATTACAGATTCATAACTTTTATGTATACAGATTATGAACAGAGTCGAATAATTAGAATTTTAGTGTATGAATGGTTAACGCCATTAAAAAGCCTCTTTAAATCTATGTTGAGAAAATTATACAACATTCATACTGATATATTGTATATAGATAGTTAATTGTATAAATAAACTTGTTAATGTAACGATACCTCAAATAAATTTTCTTGTTGTTTATGCTAAAGGCCATTTACATAAATACATAAAAGTTTGCTCTCTTTCAATATTTACATAATTCATATGAGATAGAATCATAGCGGTATTTCTTCCGAAATTATTCGTAAAATTTCAAGCTGCCAGTATAATGTATATACATAAGTTGACAGTCATTCCTTAAGATTATTTCCTAATAATTTACATTATTCCTTAATTTAACAAACGATATTCAACAAATTCTTTATCGTTAACAGTTAATTGATAGACCTACGTTCGAGATTTCAAAATTGTCGTTTAGATATCATGCATATAGTAACCAGTTAACCTTAGGCACGTCTTTGAACGAGTGTAAACATTTTTTAAAATCATTTTTCGCTAATTTTAATAGAAGTACTATTAATGTGTATGTACATAAGGGGATTACACTACATATTTCAATGTCAAGTAGTTGGGTTATGAATTGAACTTTAATTAAAGTTGTACAATACAAAATACAATATCTTCTATTGTATCGGGACTATTAGATCGTATTACGGAAATGGAAATTGAATAATACAAAAATAAATATTATAGTATTTTAATATTTCGATATATTCATTGAAACATGTAGCAATATATCCATATAAATTTGCAGTCGCACAATGTAAAATGCAATATATATCGCAAGAAATTGTTTTTGTTTGCGTTACGGCACTAAAAAGATCGTGCCTGAATACAATCGAATAAAGAAAACATACAATTTTAAAGTTACTGTCCGTATTTAAAAAATACATTTTAGTAAATGCAATTAGATATTTGAATCCAGACGTCGTAAACGATAGGAACCAGTGTTAAGCGATAATAATTATACAATTGTCCTTTTTGACCAGTTTTTGTTTGCCGTCAAACTGAACTAAGAGTAGTTAAGAATCTAAGCGCTCCGTTTTTGAAGGAAAGGCACATTTTGGAAATTGCCTCCAAATTTACTAATATAACGCACAAATCCATCCAATGGAAAACATCCAAAGAAAATACTGTTATAGTTTTTATTAACTATACAGTTAATTAATAATTGCATAATATCCATCCAGGAGTGCTCAATATTGGTACGAACCTAAGTGTGTCTGATGGCAAACAGAATAATGCAGTATATACAAATACGAAACCTCTTGTAACAATAATGTTTCAAAATATTAAAAACCCATGTTTGCAGAAGAAAATGATTTTAAATCGAAAAATTATCGTAGAATACCGTAATGTTATTACTTCTTACAGAAAACAAATGATGCATAAATGAAATGAAATGAGTAGTACATATTGTAATAGGTATAAAAGCTATAGGGGAAAAATTGTATCGTGAATGTAGCATTAATCAAACATGCATACGTACAAACCAAATGTGTATTATTTTCATATACTGTAAAGGCATTATATTTTTATCAGTAAATGGTTCGATAAATGGTTTGCATTTAGTTTGTCTAGGTATTGAATATGAATCGCACTACAAGACTTTCGTTAAATATTCCATAGACAGAAAAGTAATTGTACAAAGCCGAACAAGTTATGAAAAAAATATATAGAACATTTGCAACATCACCGAAAACGAAGATAAACTTAAAATCGTAACTAGTTATACAGAATTTACGTAGGGATCTAAATTACATATAGACAAATTATAGCACCAAATGTCTACTACTTAATATTAAAATACCACTTTTCCCTTAAATCTTGATTTTAATAACCGCTATTACTATGTAAAACTGTATAATACTATTATCATGTACACCAAGCGTACTGGCATAATGTAAAATATTAGCTGTACTCCTTCGCAATTGATTATAAAATATTTCTTATAACGATTCCTTTTTGTCGTAAACAATTATTTATGTTATTGTCATAATGTAATTAAAATGCCTTCGTCTTCTTCTGCACACTTTCAATCGTTGTATGTATGTTTCTTCAAAATATTATCGTATTTCTTTACGTTTTTGTATACATTAAACATAAGTGTGACGAAAGATATGCGTAAATTTTCGTTTACATCCTTTTTATACATACCAAATATCTTAAATACTCAAAAAAATGTTCAGATATCGCTAAAGGATAGGAAATATACAGTCTTTATTCGTTTTTCGCATTTATCTGCAGAAAAATAATTCCCTATTTTACAATCATGCAAAAGAATGTGCAAACAGTAATCGTTACTGTCACGTTCTCTTTCTTTCTCATTAATTTTTGAAAAATGAATAATCATCCGAATGTTAATGTCAGGCAATGAATTTGTACGAATCACTCGTCGAACTTTCTGGACAAAACGTGATGCGTATTTTCGTTCCGATTGGCTTACAGCTCGATGCTCTGATTCGCAATAGACACGGAATTGCGCATGCTTTGGAAATGGTATATTCCAACCATACATAGGTATCGTTTGAACTAAATATTGTAAATCTTCTAGCGATTTTTCTCAAATGTAATAAAAAAAACGTTAAATGATATTCGTTTAACGAGCGAAATATATTTTGTAAAATGTTTATTCGGGTAAAGAAAAAATTTGCTCGGCGACAATGTACGTATTTCGATACGTTGATTCGGAAGAGTGGGGGTACAGAAAGCGTACCGCTTGTGCGCGACAAGCTAGTGTTAAACGTTGCATATCGCGGTTTACAAATCACGAAACGTGGTCCGACAAGTTTAGACAATCGTCATCGTGAAAAAACTGACAAAGCTGACCGTACTCAACACAGGTATCTAAATATGTATCGGAATCGTCGCGAGGAAGCGATAAGAGATCATTCATACGCGCAGCCTTTACGATAACGAAACTTACGTTGGCAAGGAGTAAACGTGCCTGTGATTATTCAAGTACGATTGTGTTAAAGAAAAAGCAAGTTGTGAAACCCGTAGCATCAGCGACCAAAGTAGTAATGCAGTTTGAAGTTAACACGGCGTCGGAGTGAAAGTGATACGGCACGAGAACGTATTCTACCATCGAAACTACGTAATCGTAAATGTGCCCTTACGACGAAGAAAACGAAACCGCGTTCGATTTGATTCTTTTGCAACGTGGAAATAATTTAAAAAATAACATTGGCCGTGAGTCACGATCCTTCGTAATGCATATATTTTTCATTGGACAAACTATATAGTTTTCTTTTTTTAAACAAATTCTACACAGATACGACATACGTTCTTACAACGTTAAGGGGAAAAAAAGAGAAATAAGACACAGAAAAAGGAATTACAGTCAAGTATTTACGCGAGAAGTGGAAACCGATATATGTCGAATTGGAAAAAATGATCGAAAACAATTAGAGTTGGAAAGTAATATAAGAAGAGCACGTAAAATCATACGTGTAATCGATATTCGATGGATAAAAGGTATCAAAAAAAAGATTAAAGGCAGTCGGGTTGGTGTTCGCAAAAGGCGCAGTTACACGTTGCCGAATCAGATTCAGCGAGAACGTAGCACAGAATCGGAACTCTCGATCGAAGTCGAGCGCGTGGGAATCGATCGTTGCAATTTTCGACGTACGTTCCCCAGCTCTTTTTCGTTCCCGATAGAAGGGCGCTGTACGGCGATCACGTTTCGCGGGGGCCGTACGAAAAATGGTGCGACAGGCGAAGTGAGAGAAGTCGTCGAGCGTTTCTTTTTGGTCTGGAAATACCGGCATTCGTACGGGAGCGTGTTTACGTGCGGGCGAACCAAAACATCAATGACCTTGAAAGAGGAGAAGTCACGTGACCGTGAGAGAGCACGAGGATTGGACAGCCGAGGCGCATATAATGTGTATTGCGCCGTGCGCGGCCTGCGTCCCGCATTCCGTGTCCGATAGATGGTAGAAGGTTTAGCGGGGGAAAAGGGGCGAAAGACAGACTACGCGACGGCAACGACGACGGCAACGACGAGGACGACGAGAAAGACGAGAGAGATTGCCGTTCGCCCGTACGTTCGTGTGTGTGCGCGCGCGTTGCTCCGTTGTGTGCGCCCCCAAGATGAAGTCCGACTCTAAACCTTTGTTGACAGCTCAGGCGGAAAAGGCGAATCATTACACGTAAGTAAGCGCCCGCCGGGCCGGTCGCGTGCTACGTGAGAAAAGTGAGAATCAAAAAAAAATTGGAGGCCAAAAAGTGCGTGATCGAAAGTGGAGTGCAAAACACGAAAAAAAAAATAATAATAAAATTAATAACATACGTACACGTATACGCATACGTAAATAAATACTAAAGAAAAAAAAAAATAATAAACGGGAGAGAGAGAAAACGGAAAAGAGAGAGGGAGGGCCGCGAGCAGCGCGGCATCGACGCGCGCGTCAAAAACCGCCACGAAATAATGTGTAGCTCTGTGGATTCGCATTCCAGATACTTGAAGGAATTTCGCGTCGAACAATGTCCCCTCTTTATACAGCGCAAATGCACACAGCACCGACCCTTCACGTGCTTCAACTGGCACTTTATGAACCAGCGGAGGCGTAGACCGGTGAGAAAGAGGGACCGCACCTTCAACTATAGCGCCGATAATTATTGCACCAAGTACGATGAGACCACCGGCATATGTCCAGATGGAGACGAGTAAGTTTATCTATCGTTAAAGTCTTTACGAGCTTTTCCGTTTCTACTCTCTCGAGCGGATCTGTCCGGCAGACGTGTGTCCCGCGATACGTGATATCTCTCGCGTGAAATGCATCGATTTGTCGTGTATCGGTCGTCGACTAACGATATCGTTGAACTCTCTCCGTTTTACCCTGTCTTTCCCTCTTAAATTTCATCGTTTCTTCGCGATCAGCCTGGACAAGACAGCGCACCAGTTACTTCATATTTTTATTTCCTTTCAACCACTTGACGCATATATGTATACATCATACGCGTACATAAGCGCAGTTAGACGTTTCTCTACTTGTGAAGCGTAAAACGTATTATTTCCGTGGCTAAGTATCCGTAGGGAAACGAGTTTTCTACCGACGAACGAAACCGCTTCTCCAACTATCGTTGGAAATCGATGTGTAAGAGGAAAAAAGAAAACAGCGATCGCATTTCTTTGTGTCGTTGACACTCGTCTCTGCTGTAATATGTAATATGCATCTGTGTGGTAACGCGTAACGACGTAACGTTTCGTCGAGAATAACCTAATGTAACGAAGAGGAGGCCAATTTCGACGTAACTTTCGTGGCTTACACGCGCACGCGTGTGCCCCTATATATATGTATATACAGGGTGTTCGGACTATACGTCGAAACCCTAGCTTGAACATTGCTGCACACGTATGTCGGATTTGTGTACAACGAGAAAGCAGCATGGGAGTAGTAAACGCAGCCATAACAGTTTCACCTATTTACCGTGCGTTCTACTACGATCTTTACATTTATCGGTACATTTTTACGAAACGTTTTACTTGCTCGCCGGAATTTCACGACGCGCTACGATACCGATGAAAAATTGATTCACGTAACACATACGTATAGACGTATGTGTGTATACAATGACGGATTCAGATTCATCGGGACACGAAACTAATTATTTTCGAGCACCTTTTTCTCCTCCAACGAAATGTTTATTCTTTTACATGAGAAATCCCAAAATTTAACGTAGAACATTGCATGAGGAAATATTTGTGAAATATGTAAAAACGCGACACTTTAACATTTTAAATCAAGAGTTCCCTACAGTCGTTAGGATAGAGAAAAGTCATAATAGGTTTACAGGGTGTCCTAAAAATGTTGTAACGCCTTGAAAGGGGTGGTTCGGGGGTGGGTGATTTGAAACAACTTTTTCCTTAGCGAAAATGTTGTCCGAGGCTTCGTTGTGGAGATATTAACGGGAAACCTTGACCAATCAGAGCGCGAGTATACCGTTGGAGCGGCCGCAGTAGCGCTAGGTGGCCGCTCTCGTACGCTACCGCGGTCGCTCCACCGGCAAACTCGCGCTCTGATTGGTCAAGGTTTCCCGTTAATATCTCCACAACG